CACACACACACACACACACACACACACACACCAGGGTCCATCCATTATTCTATTCCAATAATTAAATTCTAATTGTTCAATTCAAATAAAAGAACTCATCAGGTTTAATGATTATCAGCTCAATATGAGCACTGCAATTCTTTTCATTTTACAGCTGAGGGAGGTCAAATCCAAATCAAGTGAGAGAAAGAAAAGAGTTGAATCAAAATTAAATACATGAAACAAGGAGTGTGTTTTTCTCTTTGTCAGTTTCTCTTTCCAATTAGTCTCGAACAAAAAATTCAAACAAACACAATGAGACAGAGTTTAAGACCAGATCAGGATGAAAATATACGTTTATCAGGAGATGAGCAGATCAACTCACAACTAAGAAAGACATAAAACATGATCTCTTCACATAAAACATACATTTTTATAATTATTCAAAGCCCATGCACAAGCAAACATGATACAAATCTTAAACCTGTGGCTGAGCTGCAGTTACAGATGTGAAAGAGGAAGAAAACTCTAGAAAGCTTCTGTTTGCTCGCTCCAGTTACAGCACAAAATAAAAATAATGCACATAAATTAGCACATAAGAGAAGTGCACATTGCAGGAAGCAGGAGCTCAGCGACCCTCGTGGGTTTTGTGGTTTCAATCAGTGTCTGTTGCCTTTTTCTCCCGTTTCTCTATTTCCCATAAAATTTCTTGTTGAGCAGGAAAATGAGCAGGTTGACGTTGATGGTGGCGCGATCGAAGAGCTTCATCACCGCCACTCCCTCGTACTGCAGCTGGAGCAGGTCCTGAGAAACAACACAGCTCCATTATCATCTCTGTAACCATGACTACAGACCCACTGAGCGCCGGAGGAAACTAAGTGTGAAATAGAAATACCTGATATTCTAACTGTAACGTCTCCAAGTGAACACCCATGAGTTTGGCCTTCACATCAAACACCCCGACAGACTCTGATGGTGAGATCTCAAAAATAACATTCTTGAACCTGTGAGCAGAGGAGAGCAAAGAAAAGATTATTTATACGATGATACTGTGAATTCAACTGAAGTGAAGTGTTTGGTTTTTAGAAGACACAGTGGCAGAAACTTAGAGGAGAAATATTCTGTTAATATTTAAGTTAATAATTTTAATGAGTGTTATGGCTGTAAAACATTTTCATGCTCTAATGAAATCATCATGTTCCTCAGACTGTCCATCGCTGCAGCTCCTCTCTTCAGCCTCTGTCTCACACTCTTGGTTTTAGCTCCTGTCTCTTTAAGAGCCCCTCCTGATAAAGTCTACATCATGATAATGAGGAAGTACAGTCTGGACAACTGACGAGGTTTCCAGGTGTTTCAGTGTTTCCAGGTGTTTCAGTG